CCGGATATAATAAATTCGGATTAAATCCGGTTCCAATTTTTGAAAATAAATAAATCCGGATATAAAAAATAAATCCGTTCCTACCTCTAGCCTCTACCAAAACTGCCACCATCAAAGCTGGCATGGCATTACCAATAAGGGTGTTTATGGTGTCGATTTCTTATTAAAAAAAATAATAGTTCATCTCAACAAAATCCACCACAATCTCAAATTTGGTGTAGTAGTTGTGGTGTTGCTTTATGTTGTAATAAGGCTCGGCCTAATTCATACATATATTGAATAAATATCATTCTTTTAATTGATCAATACTAACCTCGGAGATTGCAAAAAATTATTTTTTTTTAATTTTAAATCGTAAGATCGTAAAAAGCTAATTATTTAAAAATATTATCATTTTTTTATTACAATGCAAAGTAAAAAAATGCTAATTAACTCAGAAAATAATTATTATTTTTTATAGAATGTTATCTAAATTACAAATTTTTTCTAAGATATTCTAAGATATGGGGTAGTTAGTTAAAAAACGATTTCTAAAGGAGATCGTCATAGATAACTTTCGAATTTTTATTAAATAAAAAGTAAATTAAAATTGCCGTATTGTTCTCTTATATAATATTATCATAAAAATATAATAATAAAAATATGATTATTTTTTAAATAAAATTCGTAACATAAGCTTTATAAAAATATAAAATTTTATATCAGAACGGAATTTCGGAAATTATGCAGGCAAATTTGCCTGCAATCCCCGACAATCTAAGGGATAATTTTGTAAAGAAATAATATAAAATAAGTTAATGCTAAATTTGAACATATTTTAGCCTGAAAATCAAAAGTAAATTTGATTTTTCACGAAAGTAATTATATTTATTACAATATGAATATTATGATTGTGATCAGCCAATCATATTTGTTACAGGATAAGTGCACGTGAAGAGATCCTTAAATATGCGCGATATGCGCCATTATTTTATTTGTTTTTTTTTATAAAAGAGAGAAATCATCTTATGTTCATTGGTTCGGATTATTTGTCGAGACATTTTTTTTTTTTTAGATGTTACCTTTTTTGCTATGTATAATAATATCGAGAAAAACAATTCCGGAAGTTGCATGAATTAAAAATTGCATATTTATAGGTATCATTTCGTTTTTTATCAGTAAATGTGATATTAACAATGAGGCACATATAAATAGTTAATCAACTTTTTTATAATGATTAAATTTATTTCATTGTATGAAAATAGTATCAAAAACATAAAAAACCTTAATTACAAAGAAAAAAAAAATTCCTTCTTGATTATACATGACAGAGAGAAAAATTACAGAGAGTAGAGGGGAACAACATAAATTTTAATATACATAAATTGAAATAGTAACTTTTTTTTCCTTTTCTCTTATTTATGCAAGAAAATCATCACAGATCAAATATACCAACTCCTCCTTGAAGCATTACAACTCCTCAAAATGTCGCCAACAATTCTATCTTCCCAATCTGAGCGGAATAGGTAACTAGAATGATCCAACCCGCGCATCATATGAACGGAAACATTGTTTTTTGCAAGATACTTGTATACTTCGGATGATGGGACAATATTATCTTGTTCAGATAAATAAACGTGGGTATTGGCTGGCAGTGCATTACGATGTGTTACAAAAAATGCCGATTGGAACCAATGGAAATGACGAGCAAAATAGTAATTAATATATAGCTCACGTGAGCCAAATAGGTAGGTTATGTGCTGTAATGGAAAGAAATCAAAATTTGATGTTTAATGCAAAAATCACATATATGAAATCCTCACATTATTTACCTCATTGGCAGCCTTTGGCTCACGATAAACAAAGTTGTAAGCTACATGTGAATAATGCAACAAGAAACAAATGGGGTCAATTAAAACACAACCACCGACACGTTTCCTTGCTTCTTTAATCACCCAAGCACACACCGCAGTACCCAATGAATGAGCAACGAATGTGGCTTTAGGGAAACCATGTAACGTAAGCATCTCTTCAATTTCTTGCACAGTCTCTTCCATAGTAGGGACATCTTCAATCAATCTCATAGAAACGTGTGGGAGTTCGACCAAGAATAATGGGCGATTCAAATTACACAACTTCCTGATAAAGTTGAAATAACAGAATAAACCACCACCAACACCTTGGATAAAAACGATCGGTTGCTGCTTTTGATGTTTCTTTTTCAGAGGTGCATTTTCGTTACGTGATTTAGGATTATAATACCAATAGCTAATTCGTGATGGTGATGATTTGATAGTTTCCTCCTGAATATCGAATTCAAGTGTGCTAGACCAATAACCATTCAAAATACTATATTTTTGTCCATAATGTTCGAATCCGGCAAGTTTTAGAATAATGAAATAAACATAATTCAACAAGAAAACTGCCTAAATAAAGAAAAATATGTATATACATACGTATAAAAGAAAGATTGTTTAATAACTTAAATTACATACCCATTGTCATTAATTAAAATGATCTATAACGACAAATTCGACGTGATACATACGACATAAAATACGAAAGGTCTTGGAATGGCGTTAATCGGATCCAACGTTAATCGAATACATCGAATATCGGGATTATAACCTTCAAGAAATTTTACTTTTTTCGCATTCTCAATGAAATCGATCGTATCGTATAATTCAGCTATATACTCTGCATTTTGACGGACTTCTTCGATAGGATTGGCAAAAAAGCTCCATGCCAACCTAAATTGTTGACAAGATAAGTAAAAATCGGTATAATTATTGTTTCATGATTAAAGTTAAAAAATAAATATTATTACCATTCCGCAAGGTTTTCTCTGCGAACTTGATTGAGTTTTGCCTTTGTATTACCCACGGAAAACCAACCTTCGATCCAATGATCAAATTTATCGACCGAATTAAGACAGTTATGTAGTAATTCTGCCCTTTGGTGTTTGGGTGGAACAACTGGAGGCAACAGGTTTTGAAATCTCGTAACTGTCATCAAGAAGTACAAATGAAAAACTAGTTCGAAGCCTAACCAATAATGCAAAAATACTGATATAGAAGAATTCATGAAAGTAGCGGAAAAGGCATCTGGAAACAACTCGACTAACAATGATTTACGGTTAATAACGTAGAAAATATAATAAATAGAGGAAATAATTGGAACTGAAGAATAAATTGTCGCGACGAGCTTTATAACGGCTCTCGCTATCAAACTATCGGAAATCATTTCTATTGTATCAAAAAAAAAAATATATATATCAAAAATATATATATATATATATATATATATAATTTTATGTAGTTAAAATAAAGAATGGTGAAAAAAATAAGATAATACAATATTGGGACTTTTTATTTTTATTTTTTTTTTTATATTTTAATCATAAAAAAGACGGGGAGAAATTTTCTTTTTGAAGGGTAGGTAATTTATCTAATTATTTATTTATTTATTTTTTGGCCAAATTGGGAAAGATGATTTAGATCAAAGATTTTCGAGGTGTGGCGTGGAAAGTGATAATATAAAATTACCGGTAATTATGCAAGTGAAAAAACAAAAACATTTTAGTGGAAATGGCAAACCTGTATATTATTATTGATGGCGTCAACATCGTCATTGGCGCCTAAAATGGATAAGTATAAATCTGATATATGATTTTTCCTAAGAAACACCCTTTTTCCAAATTTTGTATTTGCTGAAAGAGGTTGTTGTTACGAAAATCGGGTTACAAGTATATATATGATTTGCCTAGCAACGTGCCAAATTTTGATTCATTTGATTCACAAATGTTAATGCATGAACGTTTAAAGCGCGTCAAGCCGCGTGATTGACACCAGCTGTGCGTTAATAATCGCACCGCAGCAACAAATTCGTAATGTTCATCTATTGATCATTTTTTATTTTATTAAAAAAATTAAAAAAAAAATTAAGTTGAATGTAATAAAAATCCTTCTTTCCTTTTTTATTGTGTCATAAGAACATTTCAGCCTTTCCAAAATAATAAAAAAAATTAGGTAATAAAGTTCATAACATATTTGATAATCAAACAACAATAATACTAATAATAAATAATGTTTAAACATTGCATCCATTACGTACCTATATGTCATCTTACATTACTTTAATATAAAAAAAGAACAATGTCTTTAACATGTATACGAAATTGGTTAGATCATAACGAATGATCGGCAAGCGTGTCAAAACTTTTTTTGGAAAAATACAAACAAGCAAGATAATCATTGTGATTCCAGGGAACCTTTTTTTTTAGTTACATCACATATTTCCATTTTTAAACTTTGATTCATTTTCCATCTCCTTAACTCCCTAAAAAATTTCATGTGAAATATTGTAAAAAAAAAATTTAATCACAATTAATTTTTGTGAAAAAACACGTCATATTACAAAGCAAATGTTTGTTTATCTTCACTGGTAACCTATCTATATCAGTTTTGGTCTCTTTTTACAGTTTTTACAATACTTTATCCATCTAAGCAAACATGGTCATTCGGCGTATAATAATTCACATGAAAATCTTAATTGGATAAACATGTTTAAAGAGAAAATTAAATATTTTTTTTATTTGACACAATTTGAAAGTCATCAAAAGTTTTCCTGTCGAGCCAGAAATGGAATGCAAATTTTCCACAATAAATTTTGATGTTTGTATTATATACGATCCCTGTTATCACATGTGAAATTATAATGATCATTCGACTCAAAAAATGGGGGCAGTCTTAATTCAGGCCAGATTTATAAACTTGGCCAAATTAAGATTTATGAAATTTAATCTTTGTATTTTAGATAAAATTAACTTCGATGTTTTATTAATTTATTAATAACATTTTTTCTGGTCTATTTAAAATATCACTTGTTTTTTAAAAAAAAGAATATTTTTATTAGTAATTTTTTATTTACATATACTCATTTAATTACAAATAACATCTATTTTAGTTTATAATTCAATAAATTCTATAAATTTTATTCTTAAAGATTCTTTTTATTTTTTTATTTAGATTACTTAAAAATTAGAAGAATAATTTATATTTTATAAACCTGATTTACATGAAAATAACTTTTTATAATTTTTGTTTTTACTGTAATAATTTATTTTACTTTATAAAACTTTAAAAATAAAATTAAAAATACAAAAAGAATTTATTCTTTATTTATAAAAAAATTATCTAATAATTTATAAAATTAATGACTATTTATTTTTTTATTAATAATAATAAAAAAGTATTATATAGTAGCTTTTGAATTTTGGGTTATTTCAATTGTATATTTAGTTTTATTTTGTTTAGTTGTATTATTTTTTTTTATTTTTTATATAAATAATAGGTTATTTGCTATTATTTCAAGATATTTATATCTTTAATCATTTCAAGATTTAATATAAAAACAGTTCTTTTGAGTGTAGCAATTTGAATATTATTTCAATTAGAACATCTATTTAGGATTATATATATTTATTCAATTATTAATTGATATATTATTTAGTATAAAATCTTTAGTTTTGTTAACAGTTAAAGTATAAAATTTTAAAAGGAAAATTTGTTGGATTTTTATTAATAGTAAAGTAATCAATTTTTAGTTTATTTCTATATCTATAATATTACTTGATAAACTAAAAAATATTCTAATAAATAGTATTAATGTTAATATAATATCTGTTATTACTTCAATAATTCTATTGCAAATTTTGAAGTTTGACTTATGATTTTTTAAAAATATAACTTTTGCTTCTTATTGAAATCAAATTAAGCTAGTAAATTTATTATTGATTTAAAAGATTAATTAATTTTATTTATATTTTATTGTTTTTATTTATTGTGTTTATGTATTAGAAATCATAATATTTAATATTTTTTAATAAAGTATTACAAATTTAGTAATTGATTTTGTTAACTATTTCATAATATTCTAAAATATTTATATTATTTAAGTAGTCGCTGGAGGTTATTTGATATAATTATATCAAATAACCTCCAGCGACTTGAGTTAGGTTATGACGGTGGTGACATATTCTAACAGTGTCGATATAATATAATGGTGGTGACATAATCTAATGGTTGTGTCAGTGTTTATGTAATCTAATGGTGGTGAAATAATCTAATGGTGATGATATAATCTAATAGTGGTGGTATGATCTAATGTCACAGTCTAGTGGTGGCGTCATAACCTGATATCATAATCTAATATGGTAACGTAATCTTTATGTGGCCTTATAACCTATAGTTTGGTTATCTTTACAGCTTTCTAACTACTATTTTAATTTATTCCTGCTATATAGCGTTATTGTAGGTCAGTGGTGATATGATCTATTAGTGTGGTTATTATATAATCTAATAGTGATGACACAATCTGATGGAGTGTATTTTTCCGCTTATTTACAGCTTTTCTTTTATCAAGGAACTATTCATGTGTTTACATTACTCTGTATTCCTTTTACTTCTAAAGAGCTATCCATTTATTTACCTGCTTCTGTGCCTGTTTGGTGGCATGTTAAGATATTGAGGATGCTTCTTTTTTGCGCCTTTTTGGTTGCCTTTTAAAATACTGAAATGGTGCAAAAAAGAGGCGATGAGTGGCGCAGTGAATTTGCAATTAAATTTTGCCAGCTCTATGCCATAATTTCAGGGGTATATACCCGAATACATACCCGAATACATATAAGTCTTCTGCCATTTTTATATAATATAATTCTGCAGAAGACTTATCTTCTGG